CATGCTCTGCAGAGCAACGCGCCGGCCAGGAGGATTTGTCACCCTCCCTATTGGCCTGACTGCGCACAATGACCGGGGGCTTTTGTCCCGCACCTTGTCAGGTGAGACCCCCCCCCTCCCCTCTCTCTCTCTCCCTCTGTCTCGCTTTAGCTCCACTGTGCCGTCTGGACCCCCGGCCCGGGCACCGCCTCTTCCACAAGAAAGGCAGCGAGCACAGCGGAGCAGCCCGGTGCGCTTTCCTAATATATGGCTCGCGAGAGGAGAGCACTCCACATTCAATTTTATAAGTGATCCCCCGGCGCATTCATGATCGGAATTTATGCCGAGGCCGGGCCGGGCCGGGCGGGTCGCTGCTCTGCGCCGCGTGGCCGCGCGCCGCGCCATCGCGGAGGCCTGCCGCCTGCCTTTCAGATCGAGGAAACTATATGGCCTGACAGCAGCGGGGCGGGGCGGAGCAGGGCGGAGCTGAGGAGGTGCTGCAGATAGAGAAGCAGGGCAGCGGGACCGTAATCGCGATCGTCACGATATGCATTATGTCATTTTCATTTTTTGTCGGCTGCCGTTTGCTCCCGATTTGGGGACCGGCACGATGATAACGTTCTCGAAATGATGTCCGTCCGTAGTGAACGTGTAGTTGTACTGTAAGTAAAGTACCAGGGCACGAGCTGGTCGCCGGGCAATGCCCCAACCAAGCGCGTCGTCGTCGTCGTCGTCGTCGTCTTGGTCGGGCAGGCGCGGCGGCGCTGGCGGCGGTGTGTGATATCGACGGCCAGCACACGGGCAGAGCGGCGCACCACGTCCGCCACGTCCCCGTCGACGACGACGTACCCTTCGCCTTCGTGGGCACGTACCGCGCCGGCACGTACCGCATACTTACTCGAGGCGGACGTGCACGAACGCGCTCTCGCTCATGCTGCGCCGCGTCGGGTCGGTCGGGTCGGGCCGAGCCGGCCAGCAGGGAATAAAGGAAAATGACGAGTAACGACCCAAGTAGAGTTATGCACGCCCCCTCCGCCCCGCCAGCCCCGCAGCCCCCGCAGCGCATTGGGGCTTAAGTTTCGGGATGGAAATTAAATCCCATCCACGCATTGGCCGGGGGGCCGGGGGCCGGCAGCAGAGCAGGGTCGTCGTGATCGTGCTGCTGCTGCTGCGGGCGTGTGTGAAGCACGAGAAGGACGGGGAGAGGCGAGGAGAGTGGTGCTCCACTCTGATACGCCCCCCAGCCGCCGCCGCCGCCCCCGGGGCACTGGGCTGATTGGGGGGCGGACCCCTCGTCGGTCTCGTCGGGAAGAGCCGGGCGGCGAGGGTAGAGAGGGCTCTTCCGAACCACCCTGCTCCTCGCCAGCGCCACTTGACAGACATGGCTCCTACTCTGTTTTTAAAGTTTTAAAAGAAAACTGACAACGATAAATCAGGTGTGTGTGTACCGCACGATAGCGTTAGCGTCCGTAGAAACAATGCGTCGGTGTAGTTGCTGACGGCAGCGGCGACCTGGTCAGGACGAGACCTCATCCGAGCTAAATCGGAGTTGGGACGTGTTTTCATGCTCATTTCAACGAAATAGGTGTAATAAAACTTTCGGGGAAAGCTGTAGTATTTTCGCAGCAGGCAGTTTTTGCAAATCGGCGAGCGACGGATAATCCTTCTTATGCCTCCCCGATCCTGTCCGGCTGTTATGGATTTTAATTTTCCAAAAAATTATTTAAACAATATTTTTCGGTTGAAAAATCTTAAGATTTGTTTGCAAATCTCACAATATTTCCTGAAAAGTTCAATTTTTTCTTCTAAATTTTCTCAAAGTATTTCAATTTTTTCCGATTTTTTTTTCTGGAAACGTTTTTAACTTCAAAACCTTGGACTTAAAAACCCTTAGTCCAGCGTTGTTTTCCTTCTCTTTTACGTCGCTTTGCCTCCTTTTCTCGCGGTGTACCCTCCCGACCCTCGACTGCGCTGCTGCTGTGCGCCGTCACGCCGCGGCAGGCCAGGCCTCGCGACGTCAATGGCGAGGTCTGTACGGCGACGCGTCAACGAATAAAGTTCCTGACGCAAGAGGCCAGCCCAGCCCTCTGGAGAGGCCCTCTGCTGCTCCGCACGCACGCACGCTTCCCCCCCCCCCCCCCCCCCCCCCCCCCCCCCCCCCCCCCCCCCCCCCCCCCCCTCCTTTGCTCCCGCCCCCGTGCTCCCGCAGTTCTCGTCGGTCCTTGCAGTCCTTGTTGGTCCTTGCGCGGACTGGAGCACAGCACAGCACACGTTGCTTCGAAGCACCCCGTCGCGTTCACAGAGAAACTCCCTTACGGTAGCACAAGGCGGGGCCTCCGAGGTACCTTTCGAGGCACAAACTGACGGTGCACTTTATGCAGTTTACTGTACCGTGCAGGCGAGTTGCCTATTCGCTCGGGGCCACCGAGACCATTAGGCGCCTTGGTCAGCAATGATAGGCAAACAACACGCTTGGCTTGGATGTGGCACAGTAGAACCCGAACCACAACTGATCAGTATTAGAAGCACTCTTTTGGTGTAGTACTTTAGAGTCCTTATTCTGTACTTCAAAGACCCAATCCCGATCCTGGGTGCAACATGCAACCACAAAAACTTTACCGGTAATGATTTGTTCGCAACTAAGCAAAGAAAATACTAAAGTTTTGGACCTGAAGTTGGAAAATGTAGGAGCACTCCGATTGCCTTCCAGCCTGAAGCCCCCCCCCCCCCTCCATCCTTTTTACCGAGCAGGAGGCAGGGGCCGTGGGGTATTTGCCCTTCCGGCACTGGCGTACGATGGGTTGCCTACCTCCCGGGCGTCCGAGATGCGCTTGGCCGGAGAGAAAAAGTTGTTGCATGAATCGGTTGATAAAAAATTATAACTTAAATGTAAACCTGCGAATATCGTCTGTCTATTTGTTTCAAATTAGTTCAGATAATCATAACAATGCAAGGTACTTACATTTTTCTTTACCATCAGTTTAAATCTGCGCATGAAACAGCGGCAAAATCCCCAGCGTTCGTCATTTGTTCGCCGTCTTGTAAAACAGCTGAGCAGCGGAGCTTGTAGACCGAGGAGAGCAGAAGCTAACTGACTTGTGCCTGTATTCCTGACTTTTCTTGAAATCTCACAAAATCACTGAAAATGCCGCAGGCTCGTAAAAAAGTGCCGTTTAGTGGCAAGGCTAAAAAGCAGCAACTTCTCGCCAAACGTCAGAAGAAGTCTGGGATTCCGTCATTCAGTAAGGACCTAAGTTGTGCAATTTAATGCTATGTTTCTTCGTGCTGGAAGAATCCATAACCTCCTTGACCGCATTTTATTTTGACGTTTCAATTAGTATCTTTTAACATATTGCTGTCTCTCTGTATTAGCTTTCTTTTGTGTTCTAATTTCTGTGTTTAAATGATGAAGAATCCTTTCTAAAACTGTCTTGATTTTATGTTACTAGTACCTTCCACTTTGATATTCCGTCTCCTCACATCTTTTCTTCATTTATGAACTTTTATTTGACAGAAACAATGTAAGTGACCATTATCCCTTAAATGCATTTGACTTACCTTCCACTAATTTCTTAGCTTTACATCGTGGTGGCGGTGGTGCTGATGATGAGTCCGAAAGTAGTCTACCTGGTGATCGAGTCCAGAAAATCAACTCACAACCAAATGCTAGAGGGCCCAAATCAAAACCCAACCGGTAGGTTTAACTTTCAAAACCTTGTTTTAAAAATTGGGTGCTTTCAATGATTGTGTGGTGTTTTAATCTTCTCTCTGTTCAAATTCAAATGATTGAAAATAAAATGACGATACTAAGTTTTATCTCGTTTTTACCACAGGTATGCACTTCAGTTTCATCGTGAGACTGATGCTGAAGTTCGAGAGCGCAAAGAAGCTGTTAGGAAAACTTTTGTGCCTGTGGATGAAAAGGATCTCGAAATTGACAGTGATACCTACTTTACTCCAGACTTAGATTTTCCTGTTCGGCCAACTTGGAACTATGGTATGACACCAGCTCAGCTTGATGCTAGAGAACATCGATACTTTACAGTAAGTCTATTGTATGTTCTACATAGTAGTCTCTTAATTTATGTTTGTTAAATCTAAGTGATTGAATGTTATAACATATACTTATGTATAATGTGTTTCATATTTCTTTCATTTGTCTTAGGAATATGTATCAGCTCTAGAAAAGAAGTTTGATTGGAAGGATTTGAGCTATTTTGAGTTGAATCTGGAAACATGGAGGCAATTGTGGCGAGTCTTAGAGATGTCTGATATAATATTAATTATTGTTGACATTCGTTTCCCTGTAAGTATGTGTTTACTATCTATATCTGTAACTTTTGTACTCTGCTAGAAATTTACTCACACTTATTTTTGCTGTAGGCCTGGATGTTTCCACCTTCTCTGTACAATTATGTCACCGAAAAATTGAAGAAAAACATGATACTAGTTCTGAATAAAGTTGACCTGGCACCAGCACCTCTGGTTTTAGCATGGAAGCACTATTTCCAAGAAAAATACCCAGAACTGCATGTGCTTATGTTCACATCATATCCAGATTACAATCTCCGCCTGAATGCTGATAATCCAAAGAAAGAAGGAGGTACAGCATTAATCTAATTTATTCTATTATTTCTCGTTTGTTTTTATGTCTGCTGCGGTAAATAATCCCTTCATAAAATTAATTTGATGCCTGTTTCTGGTAGGTTTGCAAGTTCGACGGCGCAGGGGTAAAATGCGTATGGCTGCTGAAGGAGCCCAAAAACTATTAGAGGCTTGCAAAGCCATTGTCAAAGATCAAGGTGATCATTTTATAGAATTTGGTTATTTCCTTAGGTCTGACACACAGACATTTGTTTATTTCAAAATTGTATACTGTTTCAGTTGACCTGTCTTCCTGGCAAACAAAGATTGCTGAAGAGATGGAAATAGAGTTTGAAAATGATGATTTGGAAGCTGAAGAAACAATTAGTGTTGGTTGAAGTAATTTTTACCTTTCTCTTTATAGTACAAAACTTTCCCTCAAAATAGATTTTGTTTAATTTTGTTTTATCTATCTACAGCTGAAAAAGGCAGACACCAGCTATGTGGAACATGTTAAGTACAAGGATGGTACTCTTACTATTGGTTGTGTTGGCCAGCCTAATGTAGGGAAATCCTCTTTGATGAATGCTATTATGGGGAAAAAGGTAATGCTCATTCCCATGCAAAACAGATTAAAATGTGTTTAGTACTTTTGAAATTTGTTACTACTACAATTTATTCTATGTTCTTTAGGTTGTTAGTGTTTCTAGGACTCCAGGTCACACAAAATACTTTCAAACCATTTGGTTAACAAAAACTGTGAGGTTGTGTGACTGTCCTGGTTTAGTTTTCCCATCTAAAGTAAAAAAAGTCCAACAGGTAAGTGAAACTTCAGCTGATTCTGATTTTTTTAACAAGATAAATTATTCTATTTCCACATTCTTTCTCTCTACAGATATTGATGGGAAGCTTCCCAATAGCTCAAGTACGTGAGCCATTCTCTACTGTTCAATTTATAGCAGAGCGCATGGACTTAATTAAACTGCTAAAACTGCAACATCCTGAAGGAGATGATGAATGGTCTGCCATGGATGTGTGCGATGGTAAATTACAATTTTATACGTATTGACACCTCTATTTTCTTTGATGGGGTTTTAAAGTCTTTTTTCCTCTCTAGGCTGGGCTAAAAAGAGAGGCTTTCTCACTGCCAAAGCTGCTCGTCTGGATTCCTACCGAGCAGCAAATCATTTGCTAAGGATGGCATTAGAAGGCAAAATTTGTATGTGTCTATATCCACCAGGCTATACAGGAAAGAAAGGTAAGTATTAGAATTTTAGGATCTACTTTTACTAACTATTTTATCTCTTAACTATATACTGATTTAATTCATACTATACTAATTTTTGTAGAAACGTGGGAAACACATCCAGAAATTGAAATAGTTCGTTGGATCCAAGCAAGACACACTGATCACTGTTCAGCTCAGCCTGTCCACATAGATCTATCTTCAGATGACGAGGAAGATTTCTCGGCAAGTCAAGCAGAAGCCGGTAGGGGTGATGATGAAGAAGAAGAAGGGGATGATGCTGATGACAGCAGCAATGGAGGTAGCATGGATGATGATGATGATGATGATGACGATGATGATGATGTCTCTCCTGTTGGAGCTGCCAACAAATTTGCAGCTCTAGGGGTTGATGATGACTGAATAATGAGTGATTTCACATTGCAATAATAATACTATACATTATTATCTAAAAGTTTTGTTTAAAAAAGATATATCAATCTACCATTAGCTAAAATGTATGCTCTACTTGAAAATAGATTCTTAGTATTAAATAAAAGCATACTCCTAAAGATGGTCTGTTAGGTCACCAGCACAAAATTCACCCCTTGCTGCTGTTTGTACTTGTCCTAACCAGTATATTTTTGCTATGCATTTTCACTCTTAAAAACCATTTAATCTTTGAAATACTTATGAAATTTATTGCCTCAATAATCTCTGTCTTAATTAAGCATACTCTTTTGTGATAAGCATCTGTGACCGTGTGTTACTCATCAGTACGATTTTTTTCATATTTTTGTGTAGCTATTTTTCATTGGTAAAGCAAATACACATGGTCAGAAATTTTACCCTCTTTTGGTTCTTTCTTCCGTGATTTTTAATTCCATAGAAATGTGTGACTGATTGTAATGTACTCAGTGATAAAGGTGATATTAAGAGGTGTGTTTAGTGCCAGATGCAAATAAGTTGTATTGATCTATATTGCATTATTAACTTAGTCTGCTTTTGCATTCTTATGAAGTCTGTTGCACAGTTCCATGATAGCTATGTAAAACATTAGACTACATACTTATTTAATGTTTCTTTCTGTTTTCTACATTTCTTTCACATCACATTCTTTGTGGACAATGGTGCCTTATGTATATGATTATCTGAATTTTAATTCCTGAATGTGATAATGTCTCACAATCATATCTCAAGTATGTGATGGTTGACAGGACTTTTACCAAAAACGCATTTACTTATTTTATTTATTCTTGTTGAATGTAACCTCTGTACCTTGTTATGTTTATATTTTGCAAGAAATTCTCTGATAAATGCCTTAAACGCCTTCATCATTTTTGTTCTTTTTTAAATGCTGCATGAACTCACATATTTCTTGTACCTAGTACTTTTATCTCCTTGCTCACATGGAGGATTAGAAAAGAAAATGTTTGCTACTAGCAAAATCAAAAGTTCAAAAACTAAAGACCAAAAGCAATGCAGGGGATCTTCTATCCCTCACCACACAGCACCACCCTATAATTGACCTTGTCTCTGGGGTGAGCATTTTCTTTCAGAGTCAAGCAAGTACTGTACCAAGAAGTTTATTTCTGTTGCGGGAATGAACATTTCATATTGGTTTCACCATATTCCACCAAACACGCCAATACAATTCATATTGATGTCAAAATTATTTTTAAAACTGGGTTTCAACATACTGACCAACTATGTGACGTCATCTCGACTAGGTTGTATTTATATTTATTATGCGCCATTTGTGACTTCATACGGACTCTGCTGTAGGACTCGAGGATGGCTCCGGACGTGCGAACGGAGACGAGGGATTCGTCTCGAAGTAAAAGTTGCCTTGTGTGCTGAAACAGACGCAAGGAGTTACGTTGCACACCGCAATGCCCCGTGCTGGGTTGTTGTTGGTGGTTGCAGACCGTTACCCACCAGCCCTCGTCGGTGCAGTGGTCCGCGTCGTCGCCGAGGTGCGCCGCGGCCACCCGGGCGCACTTGCCGGCGCGGTACTCCTCCATGGAGGCGCAGGGGTAGGCCGGGAAGCGCGCGCTCTCCTTGAGGGCCTCGGCGTAGTAGTAGTAGGCGCGCCGGTGGCTGCAGACGGCTGGTCATTGTGACGTTAGTGTGACGGCAGTCTGGAACCACTGCGGGACCACTCTGTGGCTATACTCACAGATAAAGTCGAACACGCAGCCGGGCTGCGGCCACTCTCCGCCGTTGGGGAAGAAGTCCCGGTGGCCGAGCGACTGCGAGAAGCCCAGGTAGCCCCCGGACGAGTGCACCACCTCCACGACGTCGGCGTCCGTCTTGTCCAGGCGCTGCGCGGGCCCCAGCCCCTCGAACAGCACCCGGGCGGGGTCCAGCCCTGGCGACACGACGACGGCTAGGGTTGGGTATACTGCGGAACTGGATGCATTTTGAAAACCACGATTCCCGAGTCTCACCTGTGATGCGGTGCAGGCGGCCGGAGCGCACGTTCTTTCCCGTGTGGCCTGCGACGTGCGCGCCCAGGCTGAAGCCCACGATGTGCGTCCGCGCCGCGCTCAGCCCCTGGCGCTCGGCCATGTGGTCGAGCAGGCCGGCGACGTGCACCCCGACGGCCTCGGTGGCCTGCGCCGCCGTCTGGTACCAGGGCGTGGCCGCGTGCCGGCCCCAGTCCACCGCCAGCACGTTCACGTCGGTGCGCTCCAGGAAGGCTGGTGGAAGGCACGGGGGACAGTCATCATGGGAGGCGGAAGGGTGTACGACACATGCGTTCGGTCATCTGGGGCCCTCCACTTACCGTCCTTGAGCAGGGGGAGCATGTAGGAATCCTGCAGGTTGTCGCCGAAGCCGTGGATGAGGACAGCCGTCGGCCGGCTCGCCTTGAAGTTCTCAAAGGTCGGCAGGCAGGTCTTGTTCATGGCCCTCCGTTCGGGCCGGTCTGGGTTATCTCTAGGACAACAACGACAAGTTTCTTCATTTACAAATCCAAATCGGTGCCGCTGCGAGATGACGACAGGGGGAGGGGGTGGGCGGGTACCTCACCTCGTGTACAAGAGGAAGGTGATGTCGCCCAGGGTGGGCAGGTCCTTGGGCTGCGCGCCGCTCAGCACGGCCACCTGCGCCTCGCCGCGGCCGTCCGGCATCAGCATCCAGCGGACGGGCTCGTCCCCGCGGCCGTCGCCGCCCACCTCGGCGCCGTCCGGCAGGTTGAGCTTGGGCGAGGAGCGCACCTCGGGGCACACCGGCGCTGCGCGTGCACACGGCCGGCGGGCGGGTGGAGTCAAGTGGTTGGCTTTTGGATAAATTAGCTCCCCAGGCTGCCAGCCCCGTGATGCGACTCACCGTACAGGGCCTCGGCGTACAGCTGCTGCGCCACCTCCTCGGACACGGCCGTGTCGTCGGCGGGGAAGGCGGAGGCGAGCGCGGCCAAGAGCAGCGCGACGAGCGGGGAGCGGCTTCGACCCATGTCTGTGTGGCGTCCGCCCCGCGACGGCGCGGGTACTTATGTCCTCGCCTTGCGGGGGGAGCCTCCTCGTCGGGCGCCTCGCCGGGCCCCGCGGACGTGACCCGGGAGAAGGAGGGCGGCGAGCAGGTGGTGGTGGCGGCCAGGACGAGGACGGGGACGATAAGCCGAGGAGGGTGGAGGGAGCTGCACTGCGTCCTGTCCACTATCCAGGACGCGCAGGACCTCCGCTCCGCGGGACGGGCCGCCCGTCTATCTTATCTCGCGTGGAGGTGCGGGCGACGACGTGAGAGGACTTGGGCACCGTCTTCGTGTCCGCCAAACGCGCGTGTGTGCGTGTACACAACACAACGGACGTGTCGCGCGCGTGTGTGTACTGCAAAGTTACGTCTCGGAAGGGCGGGGCGGGGGCGGGTTGCTCTCAGAGCGCGAAAAGACGGGCCGATCGCCGAGGCGGCGTACGGGTGAGGGTTGAGGACAGGAGCTCCCCTTCCTCACCTCTCGCCTGCAGCCGCCATGCGGCCTCGGCGGACAGCCCCATATACGCCCGTTCCCTCGCACTCGCGGGCTGCTCTCTGCTCTCTTGGGGCGCGGGGCGAGGCGTAGCGCCCGGCGGGGCGAGCCGGCTGCTCCACACGCGCGCACGGCGGGCCTGCCTACCCCGCCCCGCTGCAGGCGCTGGCCCGGCCTGGCCGCGCCGCCCGCTCCACCTCCACCTACCGCCGCCCCACGTGGCCCCCCGCCGTGATTCGGTTTGAATGAGCCATAAAACGTTTCCTGGATTATCCTCCCGGTTTTATTCTCTCTCAGCGTGATTGATCATTGTGCGGCCGAGCTGCTCGCCGCGGGCCGAATGGCGGGGCGTGGCGTCGGCGGGGCGAGCACTGCGCAGCGCAGCGCAGCGTGTGTTGCCGGCGCTTTTGACAGAATCGACAGGAAGCTCCGTCCATCTGCCCGTCCATGTCTGCTCCGTACGAAAAACACCCTTTTCACCTTGGATTTAGTTTGGCGTTTCACACTAAAAGTTTATGAACATTTTCATTCATAGCTTACTGAGTTCTGTGTACGTGTCGTTTTTATTTAAATATAAATTTGTTCATACCGACGTATTAAAAATGCGTAAGCTTGGGCAAGTACACATAACTCAGTTTCTAACGACTTGAGCAGAAGCACTGTCGCGCGCATGGCAACCATATTATCCATTTCAAAAAATATCATTATCATGAAAAACCATTTTCGTTGCGTTTAGGTTATTGCGTAACGGTTTCCTCCTCCGGCTGAAAGCCGCGCGGCGCGGACCCCGCCCAGTCGATACGCGGTATCACTTGGTATTCATGCATTCCACGCGGAGACGAAGCCGAAGCAATCCCGGCGGCCGCGCTCGCACGTGTCACGTATGTTATACGTTTAGGTCGTATCGTGTGACACACAGCTCTAATTTCCAACTTATATATATACACCGCCACAGAGTCCCGAGCATGAATAAGCTGACGACGGAAGTAAGCAATCCTCTCAATGTCGTCGTCTATGATCGCCTGAAAAATTGTGTTGTTATTAGTAGTTTCCTTTCCTCGACACGCAAAATTATAAATCGCAAGATAAGTTTCGGGAGTATATACAACAGCCGACGGGGAGCTCACGTCCATTCTGCTGAGGGTACTACATCGGGCCGCGCCTGCTGCTCGCTGTGCCGCGCTGCTGTGCCGAAGGGCTCAATATTATGAAGAATGTCGGTGTTTTTGTTTGCTGGCCCACGGCGGGCGCTCCATGCAGCCGCAGTAGCGGGAGCAGCGCTAGCTACCCTTCCCCCATTTTCTTCTTACAGCTGCCGCCTCTTCTCTCCTGCTACCGGCGCGCCACGCCCTCCTCGCCACCGCGCACGGCAACTAAAGTCAAACCTGCCGTACGGAGAGAAAAGAACGGAGGGGAAGAAACAAAAAATCGTCGACCGTGAAAATCCCGGGCCGGTCCTTTCCGCCGGCCACGTGCCGCTGCCGCTCCCTGCCACGCACTTGCCCGACATACCGCTCCGGGCCGGGCCTGGCCGAGCCGCGGGGTGAGTAATCACATTTTTCGGACTTCGTCCTCCGAGTATTTCTCGTCTCGGACTCTGCTCGGTCGCGCGGACAAGCTACGCATAGAGTGAAAGACGGTGTGTGTCGCGAATTGAAAGAAATTTGCATCCCACCAGCGTATACTTTTAGCAGATGATATCTTACATGCCTTTCTCACGCTAAGACTTCACATAAGTAAATACCGTGTAATTATATTATGTAAGGTGTCATTCATTGCTTTTACTCTCGGTAAGGACAGAGAAGCGAGAGCAGGGCCAGCAATCTGTTTATCTTGTGCAAGGCGGGGCTGATGGTGGTGAGGCGCAGCCCCGTCTCGGCACAGCATTTAACACTAAAACATACCGAAACATATTCTAATAAACTAATCTAATCAAGTTAAATGTGTCAGCAGCTAGTACTGACAGATGAAGGAGTTGGGAGACATAGGGAAAAAAGTCAATAAATAAAAGGGGGGGGGGGGTCAAAAGTGTGGCTGGCGTGTCGTGTGCACCACCTTGTGGTGCCATTTTTGTAGCACCAGCCCGACTATATCCAAAACAATACTGGGCCTTCCTCCGCTCTGCTATCTCCCTCTCCCCTCGTGTACGACGTTAGGCCACCGGATTGCAAGCCAACAATTTCTAAATATGAGAGAAAATTAGAACACAGCCCTTTCCCCAAATATGTTTCTCATCTGATTTCAATACCATCGATTCTTGATTGAGATTTAATTTTTTGAGACCGTGTCGGTCGGAAATGGGGTATCGCCCAACTCATAGGTGTCGTTAAAAATAAAACGGATCTTCTCTTCTTCTCCATTCTCCCCGCGTAACGTCGCCGCCGTCTCGTTACGCGGGCCGGCCCCCCTTGCTTCCCGTTGTCATCCCTTAAGGACATGCACTCCCCGCTTCCGCTTCCTGAGCCTAAATATAGTGTCGCGTTACAAGTCGCCGCGCCGGTGCCCGCCGCCCCGCCCCGCCCCGCCCAGCCCCACCCCGCCTCACCCCGTCCCGCGCGGCGCACGCCCTTCGAGTTGTGCACGTCGAGCAGCGGCGACTGCGGAGCACCTGACGAAGGTCAAGGAGAGCAAGGACGACGCGTCAGCGGGAGAGGTTTTCAGGGGCACGGTGTAAAAATACCTTATCTTTATTACATCGTCTGTATACCGGTCGTAAACAGTAGAGGTGGTTGTTTCAATATTGTCCCAGTGCGACGAATATGCATGTGTGATGAGTGGGTCGCGTGGAAAGAGGATAAGAGGGGAAATTAAGCGAGCAGTGAGAGGGATAGGCACCACCTGCATTAAATTGCAGTGCTATGCCTCGGGCGTGGTGAGTTTGACAACGCCGCGGCCGGGCGGCCGCGGGGGTGGGCCAGGGTGTGGCCGCAGGGGAGGGCGCTGCGCGGCGTGGCGCGGCGTGGCGGCGTGCTGGGGGATGGTGCGGTATCGAGCCGGGCCCGAGCCGGGGTAGGGTAGGGAAGGGCCGGGCGGCATCAGCTGAGCGCGGGGCGGGCGCGGCGCGTGGCGCGCGCATGCGCCGGGGTCGGGGCGGGGCGGGGGTGGGCCGCGCTTGCCGGGCCGGGCCGAGCCCAGCACGTGGGGTGGCGGGGCGGGGCGGGGCGGCCGGAGGAGCAGTGTGGGCAGAGGCTCGCAGCCGTACGCAGCCTCCCATCTCCGTCCCGCGGCCGCCGCGACGCCGCTGCCGTCCACAGCCGCCGCACCTTACTCCTCCGCCCGTCGCCGACTCGCCGTCCCCCGGCGTCGGTGTGTCCAGGAGGCCCGCGAACGACCTGCTCTGCTCCTCATCATCGCCGACACCGCCGAGATACCCGCCGGGCGCATGAGACGCGTGCACATGGCGGCCCGCGCCGGCGAGGCGCGCTAGGCGCTAGCCGGGCGCGGCCGGGCGTGGCGGTGTGCTGTACCCCCACTGTGCCCCCGGGGCCCCCTGCGGCCCCCCGCCCCGCGGACCGCGCACCGCGAGGCCCAGCCAGGCAGGCGGGGCGGCCCAGCTAGAGACCGGGCCGGGCCGGGCGCCGCTGGGCTGGCAGTCTCAGTCGCATGGGCACGGCGGCCGGGCTCAGCTCTTGCACCGAGCCGCGAGCAGACAGCGAGCGCGCCGAGCCGAGCGCCAGCCGCGCAGCCGCGCCAGCGGAGCTCCGTGAGCGCGGGGTCGCCACCTAGCGCCGCGACATGACGGCGCCCTCGCCCGCCGGTCCGGGATAGATAGCCCCGCCCGGGAGCACGCCGACGTCGTCCAGGCGGCCATCAAACGCTGCTGCTCCACCTCCCACAGTGTTGTTGTTGTTGATGTTGTTGTTGTTGCCGGCTACGAGGATTTAACGCCGGTGACGAAACAGGGCAAGCAAAGTGTGTGTCAAGTGTGTTGACAGCCAGTGCAAAGTGTCGCCACCAAAATAATTTATGATAATCTAAGAGCAAGTGGGTAGTGTTAACCAAATGTGATAAGAAATAGTCAAATCTTCATTTAAAGTCCATAGGAATTAAGTGACGACTGGAAAGCTGAAAGTGATATTAAGTGAGTGATCGTTGAGTGATGTTGCTGTGATTCCCTCCCGCCCACGCCATGTTGTCCTACATGATTCCCCCGTCCGAGGACGCGGCCGGCAAGTCTGGCAACGGCGGCCCCCACGCCCAGCAGGTGGCCCCCGCGGCCATGTCGCCCGCCCCCGGCGCCGGCCCCGGCCGGCAGCAGCCCCTGGTCCACAAGGCCCGGGGCCGCGTGCAGCAGCGCCCGGGGGTGGAGCCGCCCCCGCCGCCCCCGCCGCCCCCGTCCACCAACGGCCACCACGCCAAGAACGGCGGGACGGAGCCGCCCGTCAACGGCCAGCACCACAGCGCCGCCACCACCATCGTGGTGAACGACGGCGGCCAGACCACCACGACGACCACCTTCAGCAGCACGAGCAACATCAACGGCACCGTCCACACCACCAAGAAGATCATCAAGACGTACCGGGAGCAGCCCGCCATGTCGCCCGCCTCCTACGGCGGCATGTCCACCGAGAGCTCGGCCAGCAGCCTCAGCACCGCCGCCTCCGAGCAGGGCGACAAGCCCAAGCCCAAGCTGCTCGCCAACGGCACCAAGAACCCGGGACTGAAAAGGTGAGTGTGAGCAGAGCTCTCGCCAAAAACGTAGAGTAAGGAGCAGACGGAGGAAGGGGGAGGGGGGTAGCTTAAGCGCCTTCTTTCTGCTGACCGGATGGTTTGACTCGCCCCGCCCCGGCCGCTGCGGTCCGAGGAGGGAGCGAGGGGCTTGTGAAAAATACATTATACCAGGCGGGGAGGGCGGGAGGGGAGCTGTGGCGGTGAGCACTGAGCAGTGATTGGGCCCCACTGCGAACTAACTCGCCTCCGGCCGGCCCGGCCCGGCTCGACCGCAAACACAAAGCACACAGGTTGTGTCTGTAGTTTGTGGGGCGCCCGGTCTTCAGCCGTACACACAAAAACATGTCGCGGTAGCCCCGAGTAGTACTACCGTGGAGATCCGTAGAGGCCTTCGGATGAGTCGATCATTATCTTCGCAGCAGACACTCGCACCTGCAGATGAGATTGTTGTCTGGCACATCTAGTGCGTGGTGGCCCCGCCGGGTACATAACCCGCATGCAGGCCCACCGGCTCCGTGCCCATAGGGATCGTCCAGAAAGTACGTCCGTCATTCGTCGTTACGCACCTGCAAAGTTCAGCCTCTGCAAGCTCTCATAGCGCCTGGTGGGTAGGCAACATCTTGCCTGCAGTGCATGCGTGGAATGCGGGGTGGCCTACCTGGAGTCTCGCAGGCGTCGAACTCCCGTAATTTGCCGTGTAATCTCAGAACGATCCCATAGGCAACCCATCGGCACGCCTGCATGCTGGCTGGTATACCTACTCGTTCCAACGGCGCAGGATAACCCAATGGCAACGTGTTGCGCATTTGCAAGTGTGCTATACTACACGAGTCGGCCATCGCCCGCATGGCGGCCGTTGAACAGTCTGCTGCGAGATGCCAATGTTGTCGACAAGGTGACGGACGAGGCCGACGACGCCGCGGCGCCCCCCCGTGACCCGAAGCTCGCCGGCCTGCTGCAGCTGCTGTGCGCCTGTCGCGCTGTCGCCACGCCGCCGCCGCTCAGCAGCACCAGGACCGGCAGGACCAGCGTGCGCCACACGACCAGAGAGCCGCCGCCGGCAGCCGGCACAACGCCGCCGTGGTGTCAGGCTATTCTCGACGCGCCGGCCACTGCCAGGCAGCAGAGATCGCTGGCGTGGCGGCAGTCACAGCAGCAGCAGCAGCAGCGGCAGCAGCAGCAGCAGCAGCGGCAGCAGCAGCAGCAGCCGGCCGGGGCATCGCCAGGGCAGCAGACGACGCGATGTGTTTGGCAGTGCGAGGGGAGCGGACCCCTGTGTGACATGCGGCAATGCACTTATCGGATCAGGAGGAGTCACTACTTCTACCGCTGCCTCGCCGCTACTGCTGCTGCCGCTCTGTTCGGTTACTGCTATGCTTGCTTGCGCCGTGATTGTGATTACTCTCGAAAGTAACCGGCTGACTGATGTCTCGTTTGTGGCCGCGGCGGGGAGAGGAATGCCGGGCCGTCTCTGTCTGTTGGACTCTCACTTTACGGACCGAACCCTCCTCCGCTGCTCATTCACTTCTTCTTCTTCGTTTGCCCCCTTTCCTCGTCCTGTATGCCCGCTCGACTCTCTTCCCTTCTCCCCCACGACACACCACCAACACGATCCGGCGTGCAGCCGCAGCGGCCAACGTATTTGAGGTTTCCCGACTGACGCACTTGTCTTGGCGTAGCAGCAGCAGCAGTAGCAGCAGCAGCGGTATGCTGGTGGAGAGGAGGGGGAAGAGGAAGAAGAAAAAACACGACACAGGTTCCATACCTTTGTCTATCTCCCTCTCGAGCTGCCCATCTCTCCGGGTACGAGCGCACCTTACCGGTCCGCCGGACGAGTACAGCTCCGTGTTTGCACCGCGTTCCTACCTACCTACCTACCCCACCCCGCCC